TTATTTTGTTTTAATATGGTCACCTTTAGCATGAATTGTGGCCTTCAAACGTCCAATGAAGCTATCGTACACTTCTCGCAAATGGCATTGCAGTATTTTCACCCACTATCGGCTTAGCCCTTCCTTCAGACCATCGACATTTATGCATTTTTTAGGGCCAACTTTACATTTTAAAATACCACAGGCCGAGAAATCTAAATGGTTTATAACAGGTAAACACAATGGCCACTGTGCTAATAGAATAAAGCACGAAACGTTTTTGAGTCATTCTTAGTTGACGCGTGCTTTATGCAATAATGCCAAGCCGTGTTAGAATGTCCAACACCTGCGACCAAAACGCTCATGTGCCCAATGCTTTATTGCTGCCTCTAAAATAATTTCACAACAGATTTGGGCATCTATTTTTACCCTATGATCGATGAACATGAGCGGAGGGCGACGATCAGACGTAACGGCCCATACCTTCGCCCTCGGTAACGGCTATTTTCTGATGACCATTCATATGTTTAAATTTTCAGCTGACCTCTCTAACAAGTAAACGCGGGCATTTTGCATAACTACATACTGCTCAATTACGAATGGTGACTCATAAGAAACTATTTTCGACCAAACCAGCACTAACACTTTGACTCTTTCAACTCTAACTTTTTTTTGTTCATCGGAAAGATCATGCATTTTGTTCAACTTCGATGGCTTTAGTCCGACAAAATCTCTTGAATCCTTTCTCCCGATAAGTTCAGCTCCTTCTGTTGTTTCATTCTATTCTTTTAAAAATTATTTTTCTACCTTTAATAGTAATTTATCGATTCGTTTAACATTTATAAAAACAGAAATGTATATATTAATTGGTATTATTATTAGACAAGTATTCATCACAATAAATAACATCGTAAAAAAATCATATATGATGATTTACTCATATAATATACTCAATATAAAACACTGGAATATTCAGCTAGAAAAATTAAAGCAAATCCTCTTCTTCTGTATTCAATATTGAATTTAGATACTTAAATTCCCTATCTGCAAAATTATATGAAGTTCTATAAGTTTCAGGTAAACAAGTTCGCAAATAATCAAATAAATGCTATAGGAAACAGAAAAATAATAAATCACACATAATATTGATATTTCATTAAATAAATTATATTATATCCTTTAATGAAGGAAATTATATATTAAAAAAATTCAAACTGAACTATCTTATTAATATGTAGACTACTCAGCAATTTTCACAGTAAAAGTCTCTATTATAGTAATACTTAAAATTATAAAATTATTATCTTAAAGTAACACCATAATATATAATCTTATTAATAATATACACATGTGCATATACATACATATGTATAGATAATAAATAAAATAATAAGATATAATTTAATATTTATGTATACATTTGTGCATAACTTAATTGTGTTACCGAAAGGTTAAATAAATCTAATGAATCTATTTTTATTTAGACCTCTACATATTTGAATTTATTTTTAAACTTGATATTCTAACAAATTCAAAAAAAGTACACCTATTAGCACACAAATTAATAATAATGAAATTACAATTTTTTATTTGTGCAAAGAGGAGGTCCACGTCCGATTTGTACGGACTAAAAACAATCCACCTCGAATGCCAGACCCTTTCTATCCCGCTACTTTATTGAGTATAGCTCTTAACAGTGTAATGGTAATTACAATTTTGAACAAATACTATTTTTGATCTATAAAATTATTTAAATAAATTCTAAATTTGTTGCACTTATCTGCCAAAATCACTACTTTCCGAAAACTCTCTAGTAATTTAATTTATTTATAAATGAATTTTATAAAAATAAATATTTATTCATTTCCTTTAAAAATATTTTTTTAATTTAATATTTATGGTAGGAATAAAAAATTGAGCTAAAATTATGTTAAAGCTTCCGTATTTAAATATTACTTTCAATATAACGATTTCAAGATTACAAGATTTCTTAATAAAAAATAAAATATTTAATAATTATTAAATAAACAATAATAATAAATTAATAACTTAATTTTTTATTCAATTATAATGGACCACTAATTTAAAAATAAATAAAAAAAATTAAATATATATAAATAATTGTACTAAATTATATGAATCGAACCTTCTTTAATTATAAAAATTTTTAGGGTATTTTTCTCCTTTTAAATTATTCCAGGTTTTTGCCAAAAATATAAAATCAATGTAAATTTTGAATGAAATCTCTCAGAGGTATTTCATGGAACCATTTATTCTAGGGTTAAAAAAAAAGTCTGACGATTATGCTAGCTTTGTACAGTTAACATACAAATTACAGCCTTTTCATAAAATTTAATTTAAAATTAATTTTAATTTAAAAATTAAATTTTCAAAAAGATATATATATTGTATACATAAATGAATTATTTTTGTATAAATATGTGCTATGATTGATCTTTTGTGCTGCGACAGACCCTAACCGAACAGAAAGCATTCTGCCTTCCGAGTAAAAACCAGAATATCGGCCGTTGAGGGTCTCCTAATGTCAGAAGGGGAGAGTACTTCTCTACCCAATGACCTCCTCCTGGCACAGATCAAGGCTGTGCTGGTCTTTATTTATTATAATTTAATTTTATTGAATTTATAAAAAAATTATTAAAAATTTTATTGAATAACTAAAATGAAATATATATCGTCAAAAATTAACTTATAGCAATTTTTTTTATATACATAATTACTAACGTTAATTTAAATAAATAGTAATTAATAATAATTTAATTTGCAGCTCATCTTATAAAATATCTAATTAATAAATTAAATATATAATCTAAAGAAATCATATATTTTATAAAAAAGTATAAACCTCGTTTAAAAAAAACATAGTATATATCTTAATATTTAAGATATAATAATTTATTTAATATTATAAATAATTAGATTTAAGTACCTTTTAGTTCCTAATAAAATATTTATAAAAATATTATGTATTTCACAAGGTACAATAATTAAAATTTTCTTTTTAAATTAAATTTTTTCAAATAACTTCAGAATAATAAAACAATAAAATGTTGAATATAATATTTTTTTTTCAGTTTTTTCAAATAAATTTTATTTCAGAAATTAAAAAATTTATAAATATATTTTATATCAATTTTTAATAATTTGCACAAAAATCTATATAACGAAAATGAAATACTTTATTAATTAAGCAATACATTGCCATTTGAGATACGCTTTCCAGTGCATCTGCTATGTTACGACTTATCTTATTTTCAGATAAGACCGACGGCCAATATGTATGTATATGTTTTATAATTTTAATTATATCTATATTAATTTATCTATATTAATTTACCTCCAAATCGACTTTTTATTCATTTTTCATGTTATCATCCATTTTTATTATCGATAATTGTAACAGAACTCATCTCTTCTAGAATATAAGCTACGCTTTGAACTGAAATAAAATTTACAAATTTAAAAAATTAATTATTCTCTTATAATGTTCTGATAACGACGGTATACTATATAAACTGATTGAAAATTAAAGTAAGGTCCAACTTGTATTATCAATTATGGCACAAGTCCCACTTAATAGCCTAATATTATTATTAGTTTCTGGAACATAACTAATACAATGTAAAAATTTATTATGCATATTTCATTTTTAATAAGAGACCTCTAATCCTAGTTTATTATAAACATTTGAAAACTTCTCAGGACTTTGATACAGCAAAGCACTGATATCACCGTACTCCTACAAACACATCCTTAAACTCTCAAAATGTAATTTTAGATTGCTAACGGGTTTCTTTACAGGTCATTATAGACTAAATTACCACCTACATAAACTACAACTATCTGCTAATTCGGAATATAGATTATGCCTCGAATATGAGAAAACCACCATGCATATTCTTTATGAGCATTCACAGCTTTAATAACGCTCAGAAGCAACACCTTCGGGCCTCCGAATGTAGAGCGCCCCATTATAAATTTATATATTTATGGTATTTTTTTTTAATAAATTCTCAAAAGTGCGACAAAAAACGTTTTTTGTTGGAATAACTCCATATTGCACCTACTCCATATTGCATTTTATAAAAGATACTTAAATTTTAAATTTAAAGTACACAATATGTGTATACTTCAAATAAAATGTTAAACCTATTTATAAAATAAAAAAGTTTTTCTAAGAAAAATATGTGTCATAATCGAAAGCTGATATGAAAGCTATATCTACATTTAAACCCATTCGAGTGCCTTTATTAAAAACGGAGAAACCTCATATCCGATTGTTAAATTTATATCGCAGCTATAAGAAATAGGCATCCAATTTAAATCAAATCAAATGGTCCGCTCCCGAAAAGTATGTGTGTAAAGTTTCATTCGAAGAGTTCAAAAGCTGAGAGAGTAGTTTAAACTGAAAAAGTATATATATACTGTACTGATATATACTTAATGGTGTTTCCGACGTTTCCTTTAATGCGTTACGAAAATCTTGACAAACCTTATATACCCTTTTTACTTTTTTTCGTGTAAAGTTACGCCACTGTTCAGAAGAAACTTGTTTTATATGGAACTCCTGTCATCAGAACAGATAAAGAACTCTTCTCTAGATTTAGTTCTAGACTTTATTCACAAAGCCTTAAAGCGCTTTGTGTAATCAACAGTGAAACTGGTATAATAGGACTCTTCTAATCGCTGTACCGGCTGTTGGCCGATTTCACGCTTAAACTTTCAATAATAATATAAACATTTTCTTATTTTGAAATAATTTTATATAAAATCAAAATTATTTTATATTTATAATTATATTTTATACAATAAAATATTTATATTCGCAACTGCTGTGTGTGTGGCACCAATCTTGTTATTATAACAATAACTGATTCTTAATTTTTTTAAATTAATAAAATCAATAACTACTGCGACTAAAATGCATATTTATATAATAATGCATACTTATATAATAATTGTGTTAAAAAAAAAAAGAAAGACCAAAAATTTAGTACATTTTCTTTAATAAGGAAAATTAGTTAACAATGTGTGAGAACATATGAAACCTAAAACTCCCTGTGGGCGTGTAAGTAGTTAGCCAAAAAATCAACTTGACTTGTCGGGTTGTTAATGCGCATAGCTAAAACTCCATTGAATAAAGTTGGAAAGACTTTCGTGTCCAAATATTCACGTGCAGGCGGATTTGCTAAAACTGGGCTGGACGGAATTTCAACTAAAAAATTTAAAAGGTTAAAAATAATAATTAACCTTGAAAGTTATGGTATGTTACCTTTGATCTTCTTTGGTTCGTATTCAATCACTTCGTTGCTTAGGGACGACTCATCCACTTCCTCTAAAAAATTAAAAACCTTGTAATAGAATTAATTGCTAAAATTAAATATATTACGCTTAATAAAAACTTTTTCGTCCATTGTTAAATGTTCAGTGTAATACGCGCAATTTTTGTTAATCTTAAAACGATAGCTCAGCTTCGATAAGACACGATGAATGCTACTATCGACACGAATAGAGTAACAAACATAAGGAACACTGAAACAGAACACCACTCCGTTGCATAGTGCTACTATAAACAAGAGTTGCCATATCAGAACATTTATTTTCCACTTTAAATTGATGTGTTGTGTAAATTAGAATGCTTGTCAAGCACTCCTTAAATCCACATATATTAAAAATAAACAATCAATCTTCTGTGGGGTTCAGGACGATCTTTCAAGAATTTTTGTGTAGTATATCGTACTTTTGGTTTTTATATAGTTTTGCTATTTCCTCCAAATACTATTTTTTTAGACTGTATTGATTAAATTGCATTCCAGTAAGTAATTTATTTCGGGTCAATAAATTTGGACATGAAAATCGAATGTGTAACACAAATACGAATTCGTACTAAAAAACTCACAAATTGAACAGTTGTCGTTACTTCAGTACAATATCAATCATAAAGGCAGCAGTGTGGTACTCACGATCAAATATTGTTTAGCTTAAATGAAATTATTTAATCGAGAATCGTTAGATCATTAAGTATAAATCTTTTACAAAAGTTTAATTTAGAATTATGAAACTTTTAATTATTCATTGCTTTGGTTTAGCGTAAGAATAAATCACCCAAATGTAACTTCAATTACAGCCTGATAAGTTGAAATGATAAAATGGGATGAGAAGCTGTATGATGATGCAAGAACGATTGGAGTACTGAACTGGAAATGCGTAGCAGAAGATAGGGACAAACGGAGGCAGATCGTTAGGGAGGCCAAGGTTCATACTGGACTGTAGTGCCAAATAAGAAGAAGAAGTTGAAACTCTTTACAAATAAATAGCGCAAACTTGGACCATTTTATACGAAATATTAGTAAAGAAATACAAGCCGACTGTATTCTAAGAATTTACCTTTTGGGCAGTTGATTATATCCCAAGTTAAAATTAAGGCCATCTATATGATACCATGGCAATTAAATGAATACTAATTCTATATTAACATAGACACCCACGCTGTCACCAAATAATTCATAATGCTATTGACGAAGACATAGCATCACACATGTCATGATCAATAATGTCGATGTCGTTAGCGTAAGCAAAAAGCTGAACCGATTTGTGGAATGGGTTGCCATTACGATGAACAATTGATCGCATCATAACTTTCTAATAAAAATTAAAGATATCACATGAATTAGTGATCATCTCATTAAAGTTTCGCACGATATCAAGAATGAGAATGTACCTAGTTCTACATGAATTGAGCTTAGAATACCTCACAAGGACGTTCTGAAAAGGCATATTAACTTTAAAATGATATCACGTTTAAATATTGTAGCGTGAACGCGATACTTTATGAGGATACCGAATAATGCCTTATAATCGACAAATAAATGACGGATGCTATATTTGTAGGGAACTCCATGTTCACGATTGGGAACTCCAAGTGTAGTTTTACAGAGGTCAGATTTAAGTTATCAATACTTAATATCTGCAACCAAACACTCTTTTCCATCTCAACAGGTTGATACTCAGACTGAAAACATTGTGTTAGACGGTTGCGTTTTATTAATACTTAAGAGTTTGTTCGATTTTTTCACATTCGTACTTTTCTTCATATTACTCACACACCGGTTCGCGTAGTTGCTGGTTACAGTGACCTTTCATAGGCCGTGTTCTTCGCAGCGGTAGTTTGGCGACACTCCACGTTGTACGTTGGAACGTTGGACAATGCCTAAATACGATGGCATTTTGCGTAACTGGCTGGCAATTAAGGAACCATTTGAGACGTTAGTGCAATCGTAAGAGTTTTCAGAGGCGTACAAGCTTGATAAAGTCAGAGAGGCGATCCATGGTGACTCAGTTCCATTAATTGTAGGCATGTACAGTGGTGGATGCGATGATGTGTGGCCAGTACTGAGGGCGAAGTATGATAATTCAAAACAGCTCCCTGAAATACATGTGGCTAGACTTATTGGCTTCAACTCACCATAGGCTGAGTCAACATCTGTGATGCTTTCGGACTCTCGGTGGTGCGAGATTCCTTGCGAGCGCTTGCGGTAATGAGCTTGCCCGTGGATTAATAGGATGCATTGGCAGTACCCATTATAGTGTCCAAATTACAGACCGTTACGCAACAGGCATGGGCCATGAGCCGGACTATGAATCAAATTAATCCCTTGGCAGACTTGCTTGCATTTTTGGGGACGCGTGCTCACAGCTTAGTTGGCGATGTTTGGCAAACACTAGAGGAATCCAAAATCCAATGGCAAGGCTAGTATAGTGCAACATCGTGGTACATCTCGGACTGATCACAAAAGGCAAGGCCCACGTCTGACGAGGACGAACCTCATGGCAACTACTCCAAGACACTGCAAATTTCGCAATAGCGCAGCGCATCAAATAGCAACTGTACCCGGCTATAGGTGGTTCTCATTGCTGAGAGGCTCAAATCTTTGTTTCAATTGCTAGAAACCTGGACATTCTACTAAGGCATCCGGCCTTAGTAGGCATTACACTCTACAATGTCGGAGGTCACCAGTACAAATTCCTACCTTACAGGAGTTCATATAGCAGGCACACCAGTCACAAACTACACCACAGGCACCAGCGAAACCAAGCCAGGCTGATATCCCACTACGTATGCATCAATTACTACACCATCCAATGCAGACTTTTGCTACTCTTGACAGCAGCACTAATATACATCTTAAATGGCTTTGGCGACACTCGACTCGTGTCGAGCTCTCTGCAATCTAGGCTTCAAGTAAGTATAATCAGCATGCGATACTTCAATCCGCTGGTTCTGCGCAAGCAGGAAAGTACATTACAAATACAAAGATTTAGCAGCGACAATCGCTCATATACTGGTGGCCGGGCATACGAATAATTAACGAAATCATTCGTTGACAGTTAACTAGATATTTCGTATGTACTTCCAAAAATCGTTCACAATAGACAAATTTTTAGTCTTGGCAACCATGTGATTTGAGCTGCTTATTAAGAAGTTAAGCGATTTCAAAAGGTTGAAGGTTAAAAGGTTAAATAAGTCAGCAGAGTTATTGTTTTATATGTTATTTTTGAAATAAGCAGTGGAGCGTTTGTAATATGCTCGCAAGAGAAAAGGCCTATTACTAAAGGTAAACAATTACCAACAGTTGATCTTTGCCAATGCATTTTTATGAGCACGCACAAGCGTTTTAATGACGGCAGATATTGCGTACGAATACCACTTACACCAAATGCTCCACTACTTGGCAATTCCACATCAGATGGCACTCAGGCAATTTTTTCAGTTCAGTTGATGAATACGTGGCCTTCATGTCTGTGTATGAACACCTTAATCATATGCACCCTGTTCAACATCATTCAGACGACCCAGCTCAGGCAGACTACAGTCCACATCACGCTGTCATGCCAAAATTCCGAATTGTTTTAATGGCATATCATTAAATGACACACAATTGACTGGTCTTCCAATACTTGATTTATTACTCAATCTTTTGCTTCGCTTCAGACAGCATCGCTCTTCGCGCTATGCGGCAATGTGATAATTGTTTTAAACTTCCAGATCAACAACGAGCTAAAACTGCTTTGCACAGCATATTGAATGACTTCTATGTAGATGACTATCTTAAGAGTGTACCTTTTATTGGCATGGTGATTCAACTTGCAACCGATGTCTCATCTGTGTTGAGAGGCAGTCAGATCCATTTCAGAATAGAAATGGAAATCAAATAGCTCTGAAGTCTTGGAACATCTCCTTGGTGATTCTGATCCATGTCAGCTCAATCCACAATTGGCAGAAACTACTGTTCTTGACTTGCACTGGGATCCACTTTCCTATAAGCTCTTTTATCAGTTCAACTGCTATGATACACAACCTCTCACTAAAAGGCAAGTTCTTAGCGAAGCTGCAAAACTATATGACCAATTGGCATGTTCGCACCAGTCATCATCACATCTAAGTTTTTCATACAAATATTCTGGCAAGCAATATTGACATGGGACGACCCATTACCGCGTAAACTATTGCAAGAATCACTCACACACCAAAAGCAGCTGCCGCAACTGGAAGCAGTGTGAATACCGCGTTGGAAAGGCATGCAACCCGGAGGTGAAATACAACTTCATGGCTTTTGCGATGCCAGTATCCAGGCAATGACTGCAGTACTCTATTTGGCAACAAACCATGATAGCAATATCATTAGTCACATCATCGCATCAAAGACTAAGGTGGCACCATCACATTCGCTAACAATACCCCGGTTGGAACTTTGCATTGCGCAATTGTTGGCTTTTACACGACACAAGGCAGAGTTTGCATGTAGAGCATGTACTATACACTCTATGTTGGCGGCGTAAGAATACATCGCAGTTAAAACAGTACGTTGCGAATCGAGTTGACCACATTCAATCAATGACAGATATGAGGCATTGGCATCACATCTCTACAACACTCAACCCATCTGATTGCGCCAGTCGTTGCATATCTCCTTCGGTAATGCATAACTATACATTATGGTGCCAAGACCCTAATTCAACTGATTATCCAATCAATGAGCTGCACAACTATACACCAGCAAAGCCGGCAATAATGGAAGATGAATTAAAGCCAGTCAAGGCAAAGGCATTGTAGGCAATAGATCAACCCGTACTACGGAATTCCACAACAATACTACATAATTCAAGACTGACAGAGGCACAGCGTCATCCAATCATGCTGTCCAAGGACAGCATATTGCCTAGGCTTATAATATGGTAGGTGTATCAAGATACAGTTCATGGCGGTATACCGCTTATGCAGTATACTATGGTATTCGGCACAAATATGGGGTTTTACAGGCACGCATTCATACATGCGGGAATTGCCGGCGGCATAAACACATAATGCTGAAACAACGTACGGCGACATTACCGAGTGCTCCATTCACCCCAGCTCCCCCTTTGGTAAGATCTGGCTTAGACTATTGCGGTCCATTCCACTTACAAATTGACTCTAAGGCTGTACGAACAGTAAGGAAGGCTTACGTGGCAATCATTGTGTGCATGTTAACCAAGGCATCGAATTAGCTGAAGATCTCACTTCTGAAGCATTCATACACCGGCGTGGTCCATGTAATCACTTATGTAGTAACAATGGCACTTCATTTACTGACGCAAATCGTTTATTGGCTGCCGACTTACAAGCTTGGCATAATTAATATACTCAACAGCAATTAGCTAATTGAGGCTCATTTTCATTTTCTACGGAAGCACTTATTACGCATTGTTGGCACCCATTCAATTTCCTATCCTATCAACTGTATAGTCTACTTCTGCTCGTCAAGGCTTGCTTGAATTTACGTCTGCTCATACCATTGCATTACACTTGCGACGATTAGATGGCTTTATCCCCTGCAGTCTTCTTGATCGGAAGATTTCTATTGGGAGTACCAGATAAACCAATTGGTAAGGTACCCAGCAACAAATTGTCATTCTGCGACAATTAAGGCAAATGCAGTAGCATTTTTGGCGGCAATGGCACGATGAATATTTTTCAACTTTGCACCGACGTTCAAAATGGCATCAGAATGGTGACAACAGTTTTAGATTCTCATCCAGGACGAGAATCTACCAGCAACATATTAGCGGCTTGGCAGGGTGATCAAATCTTCATCCAGGCGAAGATGGGTTGGTACGAGTAGTCACAATCAAGTATTCAAGTGGCGAATGCGTGTGACCTGTTCAGAAGATATGCAGACTAGTGGAGTATCTTGGGACATACCCGTTCAGCCAGACAGGATATTTGAGATTTGGCAAAAGAACCAAGCAGTATGACATCACTGATCTAGTGTTTTTGACATTTGACAAGCAATGACTTTTGATTTTTTTTGGTATTATTTTTTTGACTTGGGTACTGGCAAAGTGTGCACACTTTATTGGGTTCGTCGAATTACTTATATTATTCTAGACTGATTTTTGTAAGGTAGAAAAGCATACAATATTTGCGTGTATGAAATTAATTGTTTTTGTTTTTTCATACAGAGAGTATTTCATCAAATGCGCCCAATAATAGGCCGTTTCTCTTCTAAGCAGGTCACAAAAAAATAAATAAAATAAGCATTACACTTGGTGGCAACTCTAGACAAAATGGATATTTCGTTGCGGTTATATAGTGTGTGCAAAACGCGTAATAAATTTTAAAGTTAATATGAGGAAAATGAATAATAGAAAAATAAACGAACAATAATGACACAAAATACGAATAATTAACGAAATCATTCGTTGACAGTTAACTGGAAATTTCGTATGTACTTCCAAGAATCGTTCACAATAGACAAATTTTTAGTCTTGGCAACCATGTGATTTGAGCTTCTTACTAGTTAAGCGGTTTCAAAATGATTGGACTAAACAAAAGAAAGGGTCTAATGTTACACTCCTATAATGGCAACCTGTTTCAACATCAACATTTGTATATATAATAATATATTATATACATAATAAAAATTGTACCTTTACGCTGGTCTTCTCGTATCTACATATTCAGTTGAGGGATTGACTGATGTAATCCTGACTATCCTTGATTAATCAACTTTAATAGAAAAACGTTTCATGAATTTTCAAAAATTTTGACTTCACATCATAACAGAATTATAAAATATATTTATAAATAAATGAATAAATACTAAAGATTTAAGAATATTAACTAACTTTAATTAAAAGTACACGTTTTTCTCATAATTTATTATTGTTATAGAATGAAGTAGGCTTGATTATTTACCAGAATTCATGAAAGATTTGATTTATTTAAATTTAAATAAAAATGAAGCACTGTTTTTGTATTTAATTTTAAATCAAGTGCATCTCTTTGTGTGTTATTATTTGTAATATTAAAGCCAAATAATTTTGCAATTCAATTCATAAAACGAAATGAATGGTGTGCTTTTTTATATCTTTTACACCATAAAACTGTATACCTCTATATAACAACCCTGCTCAAGTCCTGTTCTTATTACATCAAATTTGCAAACAGAGTTCATTTGTAATTCTACTTTGCCCGCAAGTAAAATTTTAGAATTAATTGAAGATTCGGAATAATACTGGAAAATGTTTGGTAATAATTATAAAGAAGCTTCAGGCGTGGCGACTTGTGTTAGGTGCAATCAATTGGCGTCTTATGTGTGCCAAAAGTGTGGTGAGCCCTATTGCTCAGGAGTTTGTCAAAAACTAGATTGGCGTTCCCATCGTTTCATATGCAGAGAAATGCCGTAAGTACAATAAAATTTGGAAATAATAGATAGATAATATACAAAAAATTTTAGTAAGTTAGTAACAAGAAAAGTATATGACAAAGAAAACATTGGGATAGGATATCCATTGCAAGAAGTGCGTGGTTTTGCTGAATATGAAGGTTCTGTTAATAATTATTTTGAGTTTGAACAAAATAACCAGGAATTGCAGCAACGCGTGCAGTCAAGTATGCAACTACGTAACACTCAAGGTCAATATGACAAGATTGAGAAACAACAATTTAACCATGTTGGACAGCAAGGTAAAGATGCTAAAAATCGATTTGGTCCTGCTAGCCAAAATCGATTCAATCAGGATGGTTATCAACAATATGTTAAACAATTTGATAATAATGAGTCATACCGGCAAACTTATGATATCCAAAAACGGGGAAATCAATGTGGTCAACAGCAGCATAGTTCGGATAGTGCCTTGAAGAGAAATCAACAGCGCGGCAACTCTGGTTCACAAAATTATGATGCTTATGAAACACAATACAAACAGGCTGAACTAAATGAACGGTCTGACCGTAATGGTAGCTTATCATGTTGTAGTTGTGATAACGATCAACAGCGTAACTCGGGTCGTCAAGAACATTACAACTACGATGGGCAGCAACAGCAAAATGATGAGACACGTCAACGTAAACACCGTCGACGACGTCAACGTAAAAACGGTCAACAACGTCAACGTAAAAACGGTCAGCAATCACATAACGATAACGGTCGGCAACAGCACGATAATGATGGTCAGCAACAAATAAAGTCACAATGTGGTCTGCAGCAATGTGGCGATGGTCTGTCACATCGTAGTTATGATAACGATCAACAGCGTAACTCGGGTCGTCAAGAACAATGTAACTACGATGAGCAACAACAGCAAAATGATGAGACACGTCAACGTAAACACCGTCGACGACGTCAACGTCAAAACGGTCAGCAACGTCAACGTAAAAACGGTCAGCAATCACATAATGATAACGGTCAGCAACAGCACGATAACGATAATCAGCAACAAATAAAGTCACAATGTGGTCTGCAGCAATGTGGCGATGGTCTGTCACATCGTAGTTATGATAACGATCAACAGCGTAACTCGGGTCGTCAAGAACAATGTAACTACGATGAGCAACAACAGCCAAATGATGAGACACGTCAACGTGAACACCGTCGACGACGTCAACGTAAAAACGGTCAGCAACGTCAACGTAAAAACGGTCAGCAACGTCAACGTAAAAACGGTCAGCAACGTCAACGTAAAAACGGTCAGCAATCACATAACGATAACGTTCGGCAACAGCACGATAATGATGGTCAGCAACAACAACAACAAAAACGTAACTATAGCGATCAACAGTAGCGCAATAATGATGGTCAGCAACAACAACATAATTATAATGCCCAGCAATATAATGGCCAACATAATTATAATATTTCAAAGATTGCAGATACAAACAGTTAAATAGTATGACAAATTCTATGAAACCGGTTGTCCAGTTTTAGGTTTCATCGAATTAAGTTTTATGTAAACTTAAAGATCTGTTTGTTTATAAATCAGTTTTTGATAATCCTGAAATATTACAGGATTGAATGTAACAATCGATTTATATTATATCATTACTCAGAATTACCTTAAATAATTCATTACATTTTTTTTCTAAACACACCTTGTATCTATATATCGTAAATGTGCGGGGTTCAAATAACTATAACACATAAGAACAATTTATTGAATAAATCGGATGAGTTCTTACTGAGAAATATTTTATGCGTAGAAAATTATTTATAGGTGGATTGTGCTCAACGTACAGTTTAGCTATAGAAGCAATAGTTAGAAATGCATTTCTGAATGCTGTGCACGTTTAAGCTTCTATCTCTGGCTACTTTTCCATAAACGTGGACTGCGATGGGAGTCGTCAACTACTGTTGCGAGAGACTGTAGTCGTGCGTTGGGACTTAGTTTGGTTAGAATTTATGTACAACGCTGTGATTTATCAACCCAATATTTATGTTAATCATCATTCCCTTATGGTAAAAATTTAAATATTATTTATATATATTTTTGAAAATGTACTCTAAATAAATCATCGGAATCATCGGAGAATTTAGCTAAGCTATAGTATTAACAGTTGAAAAGTTTTGGCAGCTTACTTAACTAGAACTGTGGATCACGACAGCTTATATATCTCTATTTTGATTAATGTCGGCTGGTGTTGATACTAATAATTTCACCTCACATTTCGGTTAATGCTTGAAATGAGAAAAGATTTTTTTGAATTTATAATTTATACTTTTCTGTAGAGATTTTCGATCGTTTTGTATAAACAAGTCATGTATTTAAGAGTGATGAAACAATTCAATTTATGTAAAGTGATCAATGATTTATAATAATTGGTTTAATTTGTTTATTTGATATCGTACGAATTTGACTCCAGATCTTTCAGCACTTTAAAAATAAGTCTTAGTATATCATTACCAGAGAAGATGTTATATAGAATCGAAACTTTATAGTCCAGTAGGAAACAGATCGATCCGTCATCGAAGACGTCTTAAAGACATGAATACTTGCCTGAAGACCGACCGATTGTTGACCAACTGTCAACAGCTGCTTCGTTTCTCTTCTATCACTATTGCTATCTGTCATGATTATAGTGACGCCACTCTGTTACATAAATGATTGCCTAAGTAACACTTACTAATATTTTAACATAAGTAGTGAAATATTTTTGCAAGACATATATATTAGATTCACAATAATTCACAATGGAGTTACCGTTCTTGTGAGGTATTCTTTGTGCTCTACTATGGTATTTCGTTAGACTTCGGTTTGAAATATTCCTTTAGTATTGTCACAATTGCCTCATATGTTTTACCTTTACCTTTGTCTGGCAGCACTCTGTCGCAAACTATGTTGCATGTATCTACTCCTATGCAATATAAAATGAGTTACAGTTTTATTATTTTGTCAGTTCCAAATAGTTCCATGGCCGTTTCTAACCTCTTTACACAACAACTCCATTTCTTTATCCTGCCATCAAACGCTTCAAAATTAATTCCATGTGTGATATTTTTATTCTGCAATTCCATAATTTTTCAATTTTTTTGTTGGTCCTCGTCGTTACTTTTTGTGTTCTTTATAAATATAGTAATCATATCACGCATCCACGTGAATACATTTATATCGACTCCATGTTAACAGTACGAACGACATGGCAACCTTTACAAATAAAACGGACACCTTTGGCAGCTCTAAATAGGAGTGAGTGATATATCAAGTGGTGTGGAAACTAGGAGCACGTGTTTATATTCACAGTACTTCTTTTAAGTATATTTAATAAAATAGTTGACTAAAACAACTAAAACCCAAAACGATTGTTACTTTCTGGCTTTACTTTTCTTTCTTATTTTTTTTTTCTTATTATTTGGTTTGCTAGATCTAACAAGATTGAAGTCTCTAATCTTCATTTTGCGAAGCAAAGCCCTTTTTTTGACTTGTCGTTCATATCATATTAGATGTTAATGTTTTCTGTGCTTCTAAGGTGTACTAGAAGCTCCATTCTAGCAATGTCCTACAATACATAAAGTTCTAAGTTTTTTAATTCTTTTGGTAAAATGCAGGTTTTAAACTGAAGTGCTATATCAAAATTTTTTTTATTATCAACTCTTTCCATTTCCGCATATACAATTATTACTTGCTCCTACTTCGTGTGCGTGTACTACTAGTAGGATATACGCATAATCAGTCAGCATCACTTTAACCATCCATTCTGTATTAACCACTTTAATGCATACTGAACTATATTCAAACATTCTAATAGTTAACTTTCCTTTCTATTAGCTTCTCTGCATGCCATGAAGTGGACGGATGATAATACATATGTTATCACTTTTAAAGTTGTTGGAGTGGCGTGCTGCGCCCGCGTTATGCATAGCGCAGAGAGGTGTTGAATCGTTTTCGTTATCTTGTGATAAATCAATTTCATCACTACTGTACACCACACCAAATTACTGTATTACTGTTACTCTATCGGACTATTGCATTACTGGTATTTTTTGCTATTTCTACAATATTGCGTTTTCACAGCAGTTCCACAGCAAAGCTGTGTAGAATTATGTGTAGTCTTCAATAACATATTTCCACTTTTCTCATTTAGGCAGTATTGCTCATTTATACCACTAATGAGGATAATATACCATACAAAGTACTTTCAACTAAATAAGTTCATTATAAATAAATTAACTCATTTAGGGCGTAAAATGTCGAATGCAACTCTTAAAAATAAATTCATCACAAGACAAATAAGCATATGTCATATATTTTATATGCAAAATGTAAACAAACAAGCTATTTCACATTCACCAAATCTTAATTTCATTAACATAAGTAGTTTTAGCTGCAGTGGAAACATGATATGAGTCCATTCATTCCGTTTATACAAAGGTCTTATATTTTCTTGTGTTTGTCTCTACCACCACCTGACTCGCCCATTTCTTAGTACTCATAGATACCCGTATAATAATATTAAATGCTTTCTATAGTTTTTACCATACATTGTTGCGTTCTATGTTTAACTATTGAAAGACTGAAGAAATAACATATTCTGACTATATATATAAGTTCATTATATATATTAAAATATTCTGGTTTTCTAAAAAATGTTGTTTCAGAAGTTATTTTAAATGAATTTTGGCCAGAGATAATTCGAAAATGTCTGAATAAAATACTGTCACTGTTTTAATGAAAAATCAGACTTTTATATCATGGTTGGCGGAAACCTTGAAACTATATTAACATATATAGTATAGAGTAAGGAATTTGTATTTCTAAAGCGGTCTCGACCCACTTTTTATTCCTGCAATAAAAAATCTCTATATGGCACAATGTTTTCGCATTTCTCCTCCTCCTATACGCTTAGTCTATCACACTTTTTAACATATAAGCCGATATATAACGTAATCAATTAATTACATATAATTATCAACAAAAAATTAAATAAATAACAAAAATAAATATTTTTGTAAATTTTCTTTAATATTGATTGTTAACTGACAATGTATGAAAACATGAAAAACAAATTTTATTTTTCCTTTTTAATATTTATAAAATCTGCCAGAAATCCTATTGGTTTATCCGGTTTTTCACGAATTAATGCTGCAATGCCGTCTATTAAAATTTGTTTTAATTTTTCATCGACGGGTGCAAGGAGTTCTTGAAACTCAAATCCAGCACTTATAGATGGTTGTTCCTCTAAATTAAAAAAAAAAAAAAATATTACGAGATGTAAATAAATTAATTAATCTCGCAATCTAAAATATCTTACCCTTGATTTCCACCTTTAAATTTCCAAGAAATCCAATCGCTTCGGCACTTGTGCACGGCTCCTCCGGTTCCTCTAAAAAATAAAAATCCTTATAATGGAATGAATTGCTAAAGTTAACTATATTACGCTTAATGAAAACTATTTGGTCCTCCATTGTTTAATACACGAAATTCTTGGTAATCTTACAATGACCGCTCAGCTCCGATGCAACACGATGAATGAAGTATCGATACAAATAGAGCAACAATCAACAGGAATAGTGGAACTGAAGACCAAAGAATAGCTTACAGGAAAGACACTTTCATTGTGAACTAAAATTTGTTTTTTCAAACAACATCAATTTGACATAGAGTTCTTCAAGGTACTGAAATCCGAAATCACTAAAATTTTTCACCTTTTTCCGATACTTCAGGTACTTTCGGAAAGGGAATATTTCGAAAAATTTACCACGATGAGCGTAAGATGGAATATAGCTTTGTTTTGATTTTTTTGAGAGATATACAAAATTTTGTCTGGCCAAAGAGTGTAAAATATAAAGTGAAGATATATTTTTTTTATTTTAATTTTTATTTTATTTTTTTTAATTTTTTTTTTTATAATCTGATATTATCTATCATGGCATTTAATTTTTGAATATGACTTCCTGCATATGTTCGCCGCAGTTACAAGTCATGATATTCCATGGTCGCGTTCTCTCTTTTAAACACGATACATTATATTCTATTAGATACTCACCTCATATTGACGTTTTTACCACGAAACACTGTAAGGTGAACTTTTGCATCAATCCAATGAACACGTCTTACTGAAAGATTTAACAAAAATCTATATTTTAATTGAATTCTGCCATGGAAAAAGTTACTTGTTTGCTTGGAATAAAAACGAAACTTATGACTATATATCTGACCACTCTAGTAATTGTAAATTCAAACAGTTGTCACCCTATAGTTTAATTCCCTAACAACTAAAATTCCCTTTTCCACATTATATTCCCATTACAACGTTGTTATTATTTTTGACTTGAATAAAGAAAATCCCAAGCGTGTTCGTAAAGCGAAAAAAAAACTTTTTGGAAATGTCCTTAATTTACCTTTTTACGGGTTTCGCGGTGTTCATATAAGACAGAACGAGGTCTTATACAGAATGTGTAAGTCTTAACTATGCTCTCAAAGTCAAATTCACATGAGAAAACTTTGGGAGAGGTCATATGATGATAAGGAAAAAGTCACATTGAAAATATTATAGAAAGCATTTTAAGAGTAACATTAGATAGCTGAAAAGAGAGGCAGGTGCGTCGTTGCTACTAAAGTAAAATACCATACCCGAACCTTCTCTACTGATACATACTACCGGGTACGGATATAATATAAGGCCTTTTCTTTTGTCAGGATATCACAAAAAAACAACCGCTTATTTTAAAAATACTATATATTGTAAAAAAACAATACTGCTGGAAAGTTTCTTTAAACCGCTTAATCAATAAGCAGCTCAAATCGCAAGGTTCTCTATATTAAAAAGTTGTCTATTGTTAACGATTTTTGGATTTCGTATAAACTTTCCAGTTAACTGTAAACATATATTTGACAAAAAACAATCAATTCTTTTAAAATATTGTACTGTTCCCTATATACTAATGTCATGGCACTTTTTTAAAGGTCTATAGTCGAACTAAAGGACTTGCCCCTTGTAATGGACTTAGACCCAACGATATGATACATGTTAAAAAAATACATGTAAACCACTATCATCTTAAAAAATGCAAACGGGAAATATGTCCTTTTTTCATTTGAAACCAATATTCACACGATATGAATACTTTGACGTATTCACATCATCAGCTGTGATGTTTACGAGGCATATAAGAAACGGGGAATCAAAAAAACTTTGGAGCATCTCTTTTGTTTTACTCTGGTATTGTTGAACTTAAATAGAATTCTTTGAAGGTACCAGTACCAGGGAGCAGAACTTTGTACATAATGTTGAAGTGAATTATCTTATAAAATGCACAAAGAATAAGTCTAAAGTAATTTATACTGCCACTCACTACCTTTAAGGGCATTCATCTAGCACCTCTATATTCTTAGGAAGTCTACAAATAGTATCACCTGATCAAAACTATCAACCTATATACAAAACTGAAGGAAAAAAACTTTCAAAACTGTGGATGGTCTCGACTGGCCAGCAGTACCAACCTATTAGTCTGAAGAAAAAAAAACCAAAAATATGATATCTATATATAATATATAATAATATATTTTGTTACACAATATGTTAAAACACCAACACCGAAATATATTTAAAAGTCCCTGGTACGTGCATGTAAAAATTAATGTTCATCAAGTTAATAAAGATAAATATGGTATTTTGCTTTTCTCAGTTACAGGAAATCTGATTGCTACTCCTTGCTTTTGTCAGTTTTATGATTTGAGGGAAACTTTGCCTTAAAGATTGACGCTTCATGCAGAAGTAGTACTGTCTGCTGAGCTACCATCCGTGTTATCATCACCTGCGCTGTTATCTGTGCTGTCATTCGCACCACTTTCGTCAGTATTTCCGACATCTGTAGCGCTTGTACTGCTTCCAATTCCATTCTTTATAAGATCAGCAATTTTTTTTTCTGTGCGTAATTTTTGCAGAGCAAAATCAGCTAATGTTTGCCTGACGCATGGCGTTTTAATGAAGTTCGGACGCGAGAGTTTCAGTCCCTCTAGATTAAGTTCGATAATTGTGACAGGCACTGTTTGAAGGTTTTGTAATTGATTTATTAGTTCAGTTTTGCAATCAGAACTGAGTGCCGTATTATTATTAGTCTGTATGCATTCCTCAAGTTGAATTATCAGCTCATTGATTTGTCCTTCGAAGTTGCTCAAGGCAGTTGTTACTCGCATTTGATAGTTTTCCAAATCAGTAGAAACACCCTCAACGCAATTGTTTATCAAAACGCTGTATGTGTTGACGAGTTCATTGATTATATTTTCAGCTGCTTCCATCAACTCCTCATTGCCATCGGTTTGCCGATACACTCTTTCTAGCACATTACTTGCCCATACATTCCAATCACTTAAGAGTTGTGCGCTTTGTTTATTTATATTATCGTTCCAAGTTTCTTTAACTTCATCAATGCGTTGTTGTACGTTTTCAGCAAGCTGCGCCACGCTTTGGACCCAGTCTTCAATGCGTGAGATTATAGCTTGTTTGGCTAAATTTCGAATGTTTTGTCTGCGTATCTGCAATTCAGTACGTAATCTGGTCAAAGTTGCTTGAAAACCGTTAATATTTCTTTTAATCAACTCACTGGAGTGTGCCTCAATTTGATTGCCAATAGTTACGGCGTCTTGCAGAAGGGTACCGGTAACGTTTTTGATGAGATCTGCTATATTCTCAGCACTGGCGCTGCCAGTTTTCGTGGCGTTTTGAATAACGGCAATAACATCATCAGCAGCTCCGCCAATTTCGCCGAGTAGTTTGCTCAGCGCATTACTTGTACTTTCTGGCAATGGATTAAAAACGAAGGGTGTTGCTCCTATCGCCACCACTGACACCAATAGCACGATCAGTTCAAAAAAACCTTTCTTCGCGATCTTCATGCTGATCAAATGCTGCTATCGAAACTACTAATGCCGACTGTGGTGCAGCAAAAAGCTCGACTGAACCACAACTGGGTCAGCACTTATTTTATAAGTGGCCGGAGATACTTATGCAATTTGTGGGTAATTGCACTCAATGTCAAGGCGTATTTACTGTTCATTGCCTCAGCAGTGCGAATTCTATTTTTCTTTTGTTTTCTTAACTCTTTATTGATACAATTGCTGCACTATTATGAACTATAAATATTTAAAAATGTTTTGTTTGTTTTTGATTGCACAATTGGTTTTCGATGTTATAAGTAAGCGATAATTATGTCATCAAAATTAAGTAAGTGCATAGGAACTGCATTAAATACAAAGCCATGCCGAATCGATAAAGGGTTCTTGCAATTGAATATGATAACTCGAGTGGACTTGAAAAATGTAATTTACTCCTACCTGCATTTTTTTGATATTTATATTAAAACTCACATAAGTGAACTGGAAGGTGAATATGAAGACTTTATAAATTCAGAACAATATATAAAACGATAGAACTATCTTTCTACATATTGTTCCTTTTTGATTCTTGATTCATCTTCTTCTTGAGTTAGTGCTATTACGCTCTTTTACTCTATAATGGCTGGGGGGCTTATCTCAACCCCACACTAGGCTTTAACTAGGCTAAAAAAAAAATCATATCATTTATTTGTCTTTTAGTTGATGACGGACCTTAAATCCGCATATCTTCCTGAGAGTCCAGAAGTGGACTTGAGGATTGTTATGGCGGGGTTAATTAGCGTATCAACTTTAGTGAATAATTTTAGAGCTCTGTCTCTGATATATTTTTTCACTGTTCCTTTTTGGACATCGGAATAGTTCATCTCCAATAACCTTTAAGAATATTGTATAGATGGATTTTAAAAATAATGTGATTGATAAATAAATAAACATTTTCGCAATTAAGTCGACAAGTGTCCGCCCAATAACAGATATTTTCCAGACAAATTGATACAAAAATATGATAAATGATATCCGATAATTATAGCTATAAATATAGTATAAACTGTTTGCTTTTATGTCATTGAAATTGTATTCAAAACGAAATCATACAATACAATGACAATTGAAAATTTTTATAGATTTAGATAAAATTATTTTTTTTCCACTCAAATTCAATTTTTGCTCTGACAAAAAACTAAAAAAATTCCTTTTGGTTTTTTTGTAAAAATTAAAACGTTAATATTATTCAATGTTTATCGTCCTGTGTCCAGAATATATTTTGTACGATGACTGCAAAGAGTAACATATATTCAGAAAAGAGGGAAGACGACCATGGCATCTCATCTGATAGTAAGTTAGATGATTTATACAACGAAGACGAACTCACATCGGTGTACTTCAAAAATCTGAAAGAATTAGAAAAAGTACTGAAAAGCGATATTAATGCATGTTTTGGGAAATGGCTAGTATTTGTTGTGACTGTCCTAAACCGTCAATGTGAAGAATTGACAATCCCTATTCCTCCGGACTATTTTCGCAAAAAGAAAAAATGTGACTTCAACCAGTTGATTAAAGTTATAAATGCAACCCCAAATCTGTTTTTAATGTCTCAATATATAAAGCACAATATGATGGAATTTTGTATTCCGAAAGTAATTAATTTACTACACTGGGTCCTTGTAGAGAACAGAGACTACCATTTTCGGACTCTGAAAGGTGATGAGTTGGTACGAATTTTATCAGATGTCAAGTTTACTAAGAATATGGAAGCACCACTACACGTTTTCGAAATTATGTATCCAAAAGCTTCCAGATTGAAACTATTATTCAAAACCAGAGCCGTCAGATTTAAAACTTATTACGGTTTTTGTGGTTATCCGATGGATAGAATACACGAAGCGCTTTTAAAAGGAATGAGTTTAGTTCAAGGAGCAATTCACCTGAGAAATGATTTGTCGCAGAGTCTTAAACGTTGCACTGCCAAATTTAATGGAAACACATCATTACGGGATCCATTGTCACGATGCGTTGTTCTGTGCCAATATGTCAATGATAACAAGTACGTGAAATGTTTTCAGGACCCCATCATTTCTGACCTGCACATATATTGCCAGCGATGGGATATCGTGCTGCCACGGTATTTGTTTTTCTACGGTCAAAAACCCCAATCAATGCCACCTTCAGACGTCGACGAAAGCATTAAAGCAGTAGAAAAAAAACTGCGTGAAGATAAAAACAAATACTGGACTGTAGGATACCTTCTGGCAATTGCAACCTTTGCGGTTTGGCTCAATTGGAAATAAATTAAGACCGGTTTTGAGTGATGCAATTACTGTGATCACAAACTTTTCTCCGATATCTAAAAATTTCCTGTAACCAACTCTTTATGATACGTTTATGTATAAATTCGCAATGCTAATAGTAATTAAAGCTTAGATAAACAAATTTTAGTTGATTTATTTTTTTACAATAAAACCAACTGTAATAATAAAAGAAATATTTTTTTATGGCACATCAAGAGTCAGAATGAAAATAATAGAGCGGGAGGACATATTCTAGTCTTGTATTTAGAAATTATTAACTGATAATATTTTGACAATCTTATAAAGAGCTGAAAATCTTCAGTTCGACTACAGTTTGATATGAAAAAGATCTTGGATGGTGGCAGTGATCCGCTGGGGCAAGTAGTACATTAGTTTTCAATTTTATTTAATTCTATCATTAAAGGTTGAATTAAAGATTGAATATAGTGACTTCAGCTTTTGTAAGAGATCACAAAAGTATTACTTATGGCAATAAAATTTTCTAAAATTTGCATGATCTTAAATGAGAATATTGAGCGTGATTCGTAGATACTTCAAATTATTTCGTATACCGGCGATCAGTGTTATTTATTAAGGCTGATAATTGTTATCGCATAAAAGGCGGAAGCTTAAATATCACTTTTAAGCTTTAGTAAAGCTATAATACTTTTTAAGAGAAGATCGTAAAGCAGCTTAGGTCCAAGTCCAAGTTCATCCTAGCGTGAATTACGTTGTAGCGCAAATATTGATTTGTGACAAACCTGATATGAAGTACTTTCTTCGTCTTTTTCACAACTACGATATGAATAATTTAGCTAAGTAATAAATCTCTTAGCATAGTTTTTAGTTTACTTTTTTTTGAAAGATTGTCTTTAGGTAGGAAACTTCCATAGTTTTTCATCGCTGGATGAACGTCCATTGTTGAGATATTTTTACCGTAAGAGACAGTCATCTTAACAGCCTTATGTATTCTACATTTTAAGGGAAAATTCAAAGTTGCAATGTTTTATGCACTTCAGTTCAGACCATCTCATATCCCTTTACTTTATTCTAAAAGAATTTGTATATTTTCGTTATCTTCTTGTTTCAGCGCAAACAAAAGTTTAGCGGAAGTTTTTAGCTCCGTTATTTTCCTCGTGGGATTCTGTAACCCCACGAAAACGCGTTACTGGTGGCGGGTAGCGAATGTCTTTCCTATTTTCGGGTGGTAGAAGGGAAATAAAAAACCTTCCGCCAATCAAGCAACCGCCAGAAGGTCACTAATTTAAAAAACCTCTACCCACGAACTAACCTCGACATAATTTGAAAACTTAGGCTGAGGATGGAGTTGCAGGCATAGACAGGGGTTTACAAAAGAATTGGTGGCAGAAGATCCATAAATGGCCAGCAGTGGCGCTCAAATCCTTTCAAAAAGAATACTGTCATAATATAATTTGTATGTCTTAAGTCAATAGTTGTCAGCACAAACACCATAATCGGATGCGATAGGCCAATCACCTGTCAATCTTAAGTCAAATGATTACTGAAACCAAAAAATAAATTATAGAAAAGGCAACACCTCACAGATGACAACCTTAAGCATGAAAACTGGCACACGACTTCGGACCTGAAATATAAGGATTAGTTCAGAACCTTCACGACTAGTACTGTTGTGCAATGCATTTCAAAAATATAATCTTACTTCATCAGCTTCTCTGAAGTCCACTGGTTCGACATTGGTGAGTAAACAACACAAGACGGCAGCACCTTAAATATTAATTGTCAAGGGCGACTTTAACGCACAATTCACCGAGACCAAGAAACCTGCATGGGCAAGCACGGTATAGATAGAAAGTCAGAAAATGGAAAGCTGTTTACCGGTATGGGCACGATAAATAATTTGGTGATAAGCGGGACAATGTTTACTCCTAAATAAATGATTTCAATCACCTGCGTATCGCCAAACCAGAAAACTGAAAACTAAATCGTCCACTAACTATCTCCAAGAAATGGCTAGAGTCTTTGCTAGACATACGAGGGGCAGATGTATTTAGCGATTACCACCTAGTTATTGCTGGCATAACTATTACTGCTTTGAATATGTGCAATAAATGACAATATAGCTAGTATGCCGAGGAAAATTAACGTTCAGAATCTTCAAAACCATAACGTCAAGGCTGTCTATATCGGCCAATTGAAAATTGTTAAATTCGACTACTTCTATAGAGCATAAAGAATGGCAAGTAACATAAAATCAGTCGCCAATGAAGGACGCAAAAGTGCCTCGGAACTGGAAACTGATTAACGTTGACGACCAATGCAAACGCTTAAAGGACTATGATTTACGGATATACACTTGGAATGTCCGGACTTTCTATAGGGAAGGTGCCTCTATTCAACTGGTGGAAGCCCTCAATGAATGTAAGGCTAACGTCACCGCCATTCAGGAGATGCGATGGGCAGGACAATGTTGCTCTAAAAGAGCAAACTGTGATGTATACTACAGATGCCATGCAAATAGGTATGAATTTAAGAAAGAGATTATCAAAATCAGTCCAGCGATTAACACCTGTGAACGAAATGCTTGCCACACTCCGTATCAAAGCAAAATTTTTTAACATCACGTTAATTTGGGCTCACGCCTGACCAAAGATACCTTCTATGCGAATCTCGAGGAAATTCATGACCGCAGTCCCGTCCACGACGTTAAAATTGTTCTCGGGGATCTTAATGCAA